TCCTAGACACAGCCATTAGACAAGAAAAAGGGGAAAAAAGGCATATGAACTGGAAAGTAAAAAAACTCTCTATTTGCAGATGACATAATATTATATATAGAAAACCTGAAAGACTCCACTAAAAACTGTTAGATCTAATAAATGAATTCAGTAAAGTTGCAGAATACAAAATCAATATATAGAAATCAGCTGAGTTTCTACACACTAACAATGTACTACCAGAACAATCCAATTTACTATTGTTTCAAAAGAGTAAAATACCTAGGAATACGTTTAACCAGAGATGAAAGACCTGTACTCTGAAAACTGAAAGACCCTGATGAAAGAAATTGAAGACATAAATGGAAAGATACTATGTGCTCATGGATAGGAAGAATCAACACAGTTTAAATGATGACACTACTACCTAAAGCAATCTACAGATTCCATGCAATCCCTGTCAAAATTCCAATGTCATTTTTCACAGAAATAGAACGATCCTAAAATTTGTACTGAACCACAAAACACCCCAAAGAGCCAAAGCAATCTTAACATGTGTTTGCATATGTATGTAAGTGTGGGTGTGTGTCTGCCTACACATCCTCACACCAACACACATTCCCCAGTTTTTGCACTGAGAGGTCCTGGGAACAGTGATGCCCCAATAGCCGTGAACACAACTAACATTGTTGGGTTGTCTTCCAAAAGTCGGAAATGAGCCTTGAACATCGTATTCGGTTAGAAAGTACGAAAGGGGGCCGGCCAAGTGGTGCATTGGTTAGGGGCTGGCTTGAGATGCCAGCTCTGTGTAGCGGGGCCCCGGTTCGGATCTCACAAAATAAATAAATGCTTCTTGCAGAAGTATTCTTGATTAGAAAGGTTCTGGGTTTCAAGCTATCTGCTCATTAAATATGGACAATTGTTTCCACAGAACATGCATGTGACACACCTGACTAAATGCAAGGGAGGCTGGAGGTCACCTGCTCAGGAAGTAACAAATATGCATAACAGGCAAACAGGTCACATGGCTGTGTGACTTGGTAGCTTGTGTACCTATCATAGATTCTGAGATGACCTTATCTGACTTCAAAGGTGAATAATACAAAAGTATTAACCGTAAGAGGAAAGACCAATACATTAGATCTTACAAAAATTAAATTTCTGCTCACCAAAAGAAAACTAATAGGGAAGGCCCAGCATGGGAAAAAATATTCACAGTACATGTATCTGACAAACATTTTGTACATGGGTTACATACAGAAGAGAGACGATAAAAAGAAAAAGACCCAGTTTTAAAATGGGCAAAAGACCGAATAGGTACTTCCAAACAAACTTCTAAAAACAGACTTAACATTCTGACTATTTTGAAATTTGGAAAGGACATCTGACAGAACAGGGCACTGAAACAGGAGATTTTTAATGGCTCTGACCTGACACAGGTTTCTCCACTATCCGAACACCGAGCGTTCCTCCGAAACCTCTTGTAAGCCAAAATGGTATAAAACAAAGAAGCAGTTGTCACTCCGTTTATATGGAAAACTTTTGGAGAGTTCCCAGGCCCAAAAGTAACGTACCAAAATAACACGACGCCTAAAATGACACTAACTGCGCCAAGAGCTGCTGCCTCTGTGCCTGCAGAACAAACACAGGTGTGATTTTTGCTTTTCACATTTTTTTCAGTTAGTGAAAACGAATACTAACTAATGAAGGTCTCTGTAACAGCAGAGTGGCTGGACGCAAACTTTTGAAAAGTGGGGGATACCTGTATCTTGTTTGGAAATAACATAAAAAACTCATTTTCCTCCATTCAATAAAGCTTTTAACTGGCCGAGAATCCTATCCACTGAAAACTTGTATCACCTGAGAAATGTGAACAATCATTAGATGCTGTTTCTGATTCAACTCTGAAACCAAAGCATTCCTTCTTTAAGTTTTGGACAGGAACTTTCCTATATTACTCATCTATATGGATCAGAACTTGGAGAATTTCATGCAACCAGACAAAATACAGAAATAGAGCAGGTGTTCAGGAAGCCATAAGACTACAACTGTCACTCACAGATCCTGCATTCACAATTCTGTGTCTATTATTACAGATTCACTGTTTTTACTGACAAATTTTATAATATGTGGACTTTATGGTAAATAAATGTCAATGTGAACTTATAAAATCCATCTCACAATAAAATGCTGCTTTTATCCATTTATGTTTGGTGTCATAATATGGATTTGACCAGTGTTCCACTGCTTTAAAAAAAATCTGAAGATCTGCTGGGTTTAATAACTGCTAAGTAGTTTACTAAGTCCAAGAAATCCACAGGCCTTGTGAGAACACATTCACCACATCAATGGCTACCTGAAGTACACAGAATGGGGCAAATCACTGAGATGACTGACAGACAAATGTATACATGGTTCTCACCCACACAGAGTTTGCAGGGCACGTTTCGCTGCAGTACTTACCGGTGCCACTATCTTTCCTGTCTGTCCCACCTGCATGTCATTGGGAACAAAGCCAGCATCCACAGCAGCTCGAGAAGCACCAACTAAGGGGGGAAAAAAAGGTGTCATTTTTCGGAAGCCCAATTACTCAGCTGCTTGGGATATTCACTGATACAGTACAGTGAGAAATGTACTGTATACTGTATTAAGGCCTTACTTTATCAACCACTAGGTCAATCTCTTTCATTTCGCAGTAGTTTTTAGCTTCGGGGTCATTGTCATTTTCTCCAATACTAGTCTTGTCTTAATTCTAGGAGGTTTCAACACCCTGGCTTATCAGTTCCCTGAACACCTCTCCTCAGTTGTCTTGTCCTCCAGGCCACCTGAGCGACTCCCATGGCTGCACCCCCAGCCTTTCCATCACCAGTATCCCTCTCATCCCCATCCCCAGCGTGTCTTGGACTTCCTCTTTCTGGACTATTCCCTGCAGTACCCAACTCCAGGTTCTTGGACGCCGCTGGGACCTACAGTTCTACTCACTGTCCTCTCCGCTAGCAGGCTCTTCTTTCTCACCCAGCTTCACTTCTCCCAACCGAGACTCATCACAACTTTCATTTGCCATCCATCAGTTTCCTTGTCCTCCTCTGACATCATCACGCACATGGAAAACCTCCATCTCTGGGTCCCCGATTCAGCAATCGCACCACCATTTCCATACCTGTCCTCCTGTAGTTTGCCATGACCAGAGAAAAACCCCAACACTCAGCCATGTTAACTGCATTTTATTTTAAATGAACAGGCCTTCATTCTCTCACCCTTTCCTAAACTATAATTTCAGATCTTTCCTCTTTTTTCAAACTTCCAATACATGCTCACTTCCAGCTGATGGCCTTGCTTTCCATTTCACTGAAACAACTGAAACCATCAGAAGAGACCGTCCGCACGCTCCAGCTAACACCCACCCGTCAAGCTGTAGCTGTGTCCACACTCCCTCTTGTCCACTCGAGGACATTGCCCCAGCGACTCGCCCTCTCTCCCATGTGGTCAGTTCTCCTTCTCAGCTGGAGCGTTCCCATCAGCATGTAAGATGCTACTACTATCTGTCCCGTCTTTTAAAAAGTCCTCTGTTGGTCCCACTCCCCCTCTAGCTACTGTCCATTTCTCTGCTTCCTATACCAAAATCCCACTAAAGTTTGTCTATACTCACTGTCTCCAATCCCAGGCCTCTCTTTCTATGTCGAAAAACTTTCTTATTAAAATATAACACACATACAGAAAACTGCACAAATCACCAGTGGACTGCTGAAAGGCTTATGAAAAGTGCATACAGCCATGTCGCCATTACCTAGGACCACTATTTTAACCCCACTCCGATCAGGTTTTTGCCCCACTACTCCACTAACAGTGCTCCAAGTCACTGATGACCTCTAAATCCAGTAGTTCCTTTCGGTCCCCTTGCCCTTCACCTACTGGCAGCACTGGACACAGCAACCACTCCCTCCCTTACTGGAACACTTCCCTGGATCCCAAACAGGAACTCTGCCCTGCCTGGTCTTCCAGCCTCACTCACCACCCCTTTAGGTCTTCACTCTCCCCACCTCTTAACCTCACAGCACCCAGGACTGAGTCCTGGGGCCTCTTTTTTTTTTTTTTATCTCCACTCACTACCCTTGGTGATGTCACCCAGTCTCATGGCTTCAAAACCATCCAAGTGTCACTGACTCCCACATGTCTCTCTCTAGCCCAGGCTTCTCCCACGAAGTCCACGTTCCCATATCAACCACTTAACTGACATCTCTACTTGAATGTCGACTATTAGACACCTCAAAACTTAAGGTGACCCAAACTGAACTCCTGCTCTCGCCCGGGAAACGGCACACGTCTCAGCTCATGGCCACTCCATCCTACCAGCTGCCAGATCAGAACTTTCTCTCATAACCCATGTCCAGTCTATCAGTAAATCCCAACGGTCCTACCTGCAGGTATACATCCCCAAAGTCACGCTTTCCCTCTACGTCTACCGCTACTAACCTGGTCCAAATCACCAGTGTCTCTCACCTGAGTGACTGAAATAGCTGGCTGACTTCCCTGTTACTCCACTTTCCCCCTACAGTCTGTTCACAAAGTTGTAGCCAGAGTGATCCTTTCAGTAAGTGTCACATCAGGTGACTCTTCCACACAAACCTTTCGGGGGTTCCCCATTTCATTCACAGAAAAGCCATCTCTTTACAAAGGCCTACCTGCCCGGTGTGGGCTGGTCTCCTCAGCCAGTCCTGTCTCGTCCTTCCTCCCCACACTGGCCTCCCTGCTGTCCATCACACAGAGCAGACATGGCCCAGCAAAGCCAGGCCCTGCGCACTTCACGGGGCCCTCTCCCAGAAACGCAGCTTGCTTCCCCACCTCCTCCAAACCTTGTTCCGACGTCTCCTTCTCAGTCAGGCCTACTCTGACCATATCTTAAAAACTGTAACCCCCTCCCGCTCCTTTCCCTGCTCGATTATTTCCCACAGCATTTACCACCCTCTAACATATTATTTACTAATGTATTGTTTAGTGTCTGCGGTGGGCAGAGAAGTGGCCCCTCCAAAGATATACTCACTCACAAATCCACAGACCCTGTGGATATTACCCATATGGCAGCAGATAAGATATAAAATGAAGGATCTTGGGAGAAGGCACTCAAAGTGGAACCTAGATGGGCCCTAAATGTCACCACATGTATCCTTATAAGAGGGAAGCAGAGGAAGTGTGATACAGACAGACAGAGGGGGTGGCGGCATGACAACAGGCAGAGGTCGGAGTGATGCCACCACAAGCCCAGGACACCAGGGCAGTCACAACAAGCCAGTGGAAGAGGGGAAAGTAGATGCACCCAGAGGGGTATGGCCCTGACGACACCTGGATTTCAACACACTTGTGGTCTCTCTCACTGTACAGAATGACTCTGTTGTTTGAAGCCACCAAGTTTAGGGCCATTTGTTACAGTAGCCACAGGAAACTAATACAAAGTCTAGTCTCACTCAAAGAGAAACGTAGCTTCCACAAGGACAGACCTTTCTCATTCTGTTCTCTATTTCCCTGGTTCCTAAAACAGTGCCTGTCACATGGCAGACACTTGATAAATACTCATTCAAGGAAAGAATAAATGAATGAAACAAATATTCTCAGTCAAATACTGCCATCTGATTAGAAAAAGTCAATTATCATGGCTTTATTCACACAAAACCATTTCTGTTTCTGAGTACACATATTAGGTAAAAGCATAGACAAAGCCTAGAAAGTTATACATAAAACTCTTAAATGGGGGAGAACAGAATTGAGACTTTTTGTAAAAAGAATACATTCATGTCATACTTGTATAAATACAAACTAAAATATTTTAAATTTTCTGATTTTGTAAAAAACATCATTCCATTCTCATCAATACACTTTTCTAAAATTTATTTTTAATTATAGTTGACATGTAAGATTATCTTAGTTTCAGGTTACAACACAGTGATCCCACATTTATGGAACTCACAAAGTGACCACAATAAGTCTGGTGCCCATCTGTCCCCGTACAGTCACTCCACTGCTACTGACCACACTCCCTATGCTGTGCTTTACCCCCCGTGACTTGTTTTATAACCGAAGTCTGTACTTCATCCCCTTACCCTTCACCCACTTCCTGGTCCCCCAACCTCCCTCCCTTCTGGCAACCATCAGTTTGTTCTCTGTGTCTACAAGTCTGTTTGTGTTTTGTTTGTTCATTTGTTTTGTATTTCAGGTTGCATATATAAGTGAGATCACATGGGATCTTTCTCTGACTTATTTCACTCAGCATGATACCCTAGGTCCCTCCATGTTGTCACAAATGACAGGATTTCATTCTTTTTTATGGCTCAGTAACTCATCTAATACACTTTTAATCACACGTTCTATCTTTCCTATAAATGGTTAACTACAGTTTTAAAATAATGTTAAATGTTAATTTCTATCAGTATGATTTATATAAGACCACCAATTAAGAGAAAAAAAAATAAGGGTATTCCTGGATCTGAAGTAGCACTGAAGCTGATGACATTTAAATTATTTTTTAATGGAAAAAACTACTAAGATTTGGCAAATGTAAGAGTGTCATAAAATATTAAAAAAGAGGCCACCCTCTCATATCATACCATTTACTTGGAGACTAAGAAAAACTGTATTAGAGGAAAACGCAATAACCAGAGAAAACAGAATAACTTGCAGCCTTATACAGAAATGAAATAATGAAGAAAAGTTACTGCCAACGGAAAGGTCACATTTTCTTATGAAGGAAAACACCTACCTGCAGCATGCAGCTGATCTGCCAAATCATATAATAGCTTAAAGTTCTCTCCACTCTTCAAACCCCGACCTCATTAAAAAAAGATGAAAAAAACAAAGTGAATACAAACTCCATTTTACAAAAATTTGGTGACTGTATGCCTGAGTGATGATCATATTACACAGCTGCTCTGTTAAGCACAGCACCTCCTCTCTACAGCCTGTCCTACCTTCCACAGCGACACCCTGAGCTTGTCCCACGAGCACTCACCACTGAGATTAACCAGCCAGGTCACCAGTTACGTACTCAGCCTTCCCCACCAGAACGGTCACTGCTATCCCCACAGTATTTAACAAAACTTCATTGAATGAGTGCATGAAGTTATTATTTGAATGGAAGTCACTGCATGAGACTTCAAACTCCCGAACAGCAAGAACCCCTGCTTTTTCCGCCCAGCACTTGGCAACAGGCCTGGCATAAAACAAGATACCCAATAAACATTTCTTCAATAAATCAGTGAATAAAGGAGTTACGTATCTTTTTGAAATATTAAATTATGGCCTCTCAATGCTCCTTGCAAATACAAGGCTGTCTGGAAGCTTAATGATTTTGCTTGATGCTTAGTTTGGAGAGATTTTAAAATCAGACTATAACAAGTTTGTTTTCTTTTTAAATAAGGAGCATGATATACAAACAGAAGCCAGTCTTGTGCAATACTAACAGCTCTGATACTGAACATGGAGAAACTGTCAGAGAATCTCCCCTGGAGAACCAGCTACCCGACACTGACAGTGGAGGTTTTCTGAAGTGAGTGTGGAGCGTGGGTGTCAACGTGGCCCTGAGATCCCAACTCACTCTGCTTATGGCTCAGAAGCCACTCATACTCTTCAGAATAACAAGGAAGTCTGTCAGTACAACAAAGACACCAAGTTGCAAAGTTCCATAGTTGATATTTGTACCATGCTCCCCCGCCAGCCATACAGACTTGCAAACGGAAGTCCAAATTGTATGCTAAGCTCAGGATTTCATTTTCATAATTGGTAAAATGAGAATAATACTTGCAACTTACCTACTTCTTATATTTGGGGGAACAAAATCTGTGCTTCTCTAAAATAAATATTAATAATACCAAAGTATTTTAAGTTTAGATCTTTTAAAATTAATACATTACAAATCTCACTTACCACCAGATACCACCACTTTGGCACCAGTTAGCTCTGGTCGATCGCTTTTTGTTAATTTCTGGTCAAGCCATTCTGATATCCCCACTGGAGAAGTACTTGATGCTATATACATTGATATGTATAACAAAACAATGACTATGAGTTAAAGTTCTAAAATAATAGTAATTTTTAAGAGAAACACACACAGAATTAATTCTATGAAACTTAAGTTTGTTACTGTGAATTTTCTGTGCTCCTCCTTTCATTCTGATTTTTTGGAACACTTAAGGGACTAGATTCCAGCCTCCTTCACCTCATTAGCTGTATGACTTTTAAGAAGTCATTTAATTCTGAGCCTACCTGTCACACTGGAATAACCCTCTATGTGATTCAAATAAGATACTGTCTATGTTACAGTGTGACGCTGTCTGCACATTTGCTATCACATTCTTGCATTACACTGAATCTCCCAAGTACTGTAATGGGAACCAGGAAGAGAAGAGCAAAGAATCTCAGCATCAATGTAACAGCTTGTTTGGGACCATCTCCCACCCCTTTCATCTACTCAAGCAACTTCCCTAGGACCAAAGGTGGTACGAAAAAGGCATATTGTGAATGTTTCCCATTTTTGTACAAGCTTGGGAACATCATACTAGAGACCACGCCCGACACCACTCTACCCTATGAACTGGAAACAAGACACAAAACCAAGCACAGCCCAGATGGACACTCACTCACCCGTTTCTGAACTGGCGCTGCCACCACTTGTAGCTGCAGCTTCAAAAGATGTTCCTCGGACAGAAAACACTTTCACTTTCTCGTCACACTTCACGGTGCATATAGCGTTTCCTGAAATACATAATTTAAAACCACCACCACCATGAAAGGCAACAAAGAAGTGTTCCTGTGAGGCTCAGACTTGCTTCACAAAGAACAGGCAGAAGTAACTGTGGGACAGTGGCTTTCCACCTTCCTGAGTGCAGGAATAAGACCTGTAACACTGAAGAAACGTATCAGCAGGTATCTCACCTTGGATGTCTTTAGAAATAATAGGACAGGAGCTGACCTGCCTGGAAGCAAGTAACTGGAATAGACAGCCCCATTGATAAGGTACATTCTTCCTAAAAGAAATATAAAAAGCTTCCTTCTTCAAAAACAACAAAATCAGTGACAACTGTATGAGCTGTAACAACTTAGAAAGAATGAAGCTCCTTGCATGGTAAGGGAGGGAAGTAAGAGGAAACATGATAGGGCACAAAGGACAAGTGTGATGTGCCACAATTTTAGAAGGATCTAGCAATCACAGTAAGAATGACCTAAACCAGAGAAAAACAAATACCATATGATCTCACTTATATGTGGAATCTAAAGAACTGAATAAATGAGCAAAGTAAACAGAAATAGTCTCAGAGATATAGAGGAAAAACTGATGGTTGCTAGATGGGAGAGGGGTGGGGATGAGGGAGAAGGGGAAGGGATTAGACAGTATAAATTGGTAATTATAATATTGCCATGGGGATATGAAAGACAGTTTGGGGAAAATAATCAATAATGCTGTAAATATTTTGTAGAGTGTGAGATGGACTCGTCTTGTTAGGGAGACTACTTCATGGATGGGGTAGAGGCCTGACCACTGCACTGTACACCTGAAGCTGACGTTGAATAATATTGTATATCAACTATAATTTAATATACACACACACACACACACACACACACACATATAGTCACGGGATGTGGAGTATAGTGTGGGGAGTGGAGTCAATGGAATTGTGATAGATATGTATGATAAGGTGGGGGGGAGTGGGGCAGTGGATTGGGGGAGGGGCATTGTCACTTTGAGGGGTGAAAAGTGTAACTATGGCATTGTTTTGCATACCTGAAACTAATAAAAAAATTTAAAAATAAAAACGACCTAAACTATGATCAAATATTTCCCCTCAAACACTGTTAAAGATAAAAGACCTGATTTGAGAATTGACCACCTAATCCTGAAACACACCACTCCAATCAGGAAGAACTCCCTGCCCTCGCCAGCCCCACCAGAGACCAGTGTGTTTAGCAAAAGATCAACTCCACTACAGGGGCGCTGAAAGGAATGTCTTAATGCAGATGGAAAAGGAAGAGAAGCAGCAAAGATACTATTTTTTTTTTTTAAATAGAAACTTTTGCTTTTCCAGGTGCCACTTACAAAATATACTGAGGAGTGAATCCACTTTATATGATCACTGGACAAACGTCATCTGTGAACTGAACTGAATGACCAGGAAGGAAACACTCTCAGAGAGGATGCCTTGTTATGGCATAGCAGCGATTCCAAGACTAAGACTTTTCCCAGAAACCTTTAGGATGGTCCATTTAAAGCAAGTCTATGACTTTTTTAAAAATCCAATCTTCGCGATTAATTTCTACTTTTAACATGTTGATTCATTATTTTCTTTGGCTACTCACCTGCATAAATAGTTCTCACAAATGTGTCAGGTGACTTGATCCCAATGATGTCAGAAATTGGGGCAACATCAAGTTTGGCTGCTATTCTGGGCAAAAGATTCTGGAAGCAAAATAAGCAGTAAGTTACACATGCGTGTGCTGACGGATGGCTATACACTATCAGCAGTAACATTCTTTAACTGCATATTCTATACAAATTTTAATTCAGGTATTTTATATTTCACATACATCTTTAGACATACTACAACTTCAAGCACAACTTTTCAGACAGTGTTTGAGATGAAGTAAGTCTGCCTTTACTCTAAGTACATTAAGAGTTTATGAGTTTTATAATGCATTAATAAGCCACCTTAACTCAATATGAATTATGAGATATGGTATTTACTTTAATGAATGTCACTTAAAAAGTGTGAGTTATTGGGCTGGCCGAGTGGCGCGTTGGTTAAGAACTGGCTTGGGATGCCAGAGGGCCCCGGTTCAGATCCCACATATGAGGGCCAGTGACACTGCCCTCCACAGCTAAGATGCTGAA